ATGGACCCCACTTCGGGAAATATTTGCACAGAGGGCTCTTGTTGATTTGCTGGCCCGCCTTCACTTAGGGCGGGCATGAGGCTTGCTGGGGCCTTAGCCCAGAACACGTACATCATGGCAAGGCCCCTACTTGAGGGCTCAATTCTCACAATAGCTTGAGACAGAGTCCATTAAGCCGTCTTTGCCGCCATCGCCATCATCACCATCATCATCGTCATCGCTGTCATTGCCATGGCTGTCATGATGACTTTGAGTGCTGTGATAGCCATGATCATGATTGTCCTGATACTATCGTCTCCCCCCGAATAGAACATACGGTCATTATATCCATATTTCTCCGAGTGTTCGTTGTGACAGGCACTTGCCTCAAACAAGATCAGGTTCTTTTTTGAAAGCCAACCTGTAACATTTGGAGCGGCCACTCAGGACGTCAATACTTCTTGAAAAAAAAAAACTCCTGATTGATGGCTCATGGGAAAGATCTGTCATACCAACTGGCCTGGCTCAGTTGGTACATTCCAACTCCACTGCAAGCAGATGAGTAAAATACTCCAATTGCAATTCTAAATTACCGGCCAGTTTGAGGATGATATCTCAAGGCCGACGCCCTTCTAAGAAAAATAAAATAAAATGGGTTGATCTGTTACCGATCTCAGAGGACTGGTGATGGTGGGGCCCCTGACGTTGGCTGAAATCCAAACCCCTCAGTCCCTGCCAAGTCTTAGACCATTAGATGCACACCTCAGGCCTGAAGATAGAAAATGAGCAGAGAAAATGAGCATGGCCCCTGGGAAGGATAAGAGGGAAGTCCAGAGAGGAGGGAACTTGAGGGATATCCATCACAATTGGACCGATGCAGAGAAAATGATTATGGACCCTGTGCAAGAAGGACATGCGGAAATAGACAAACATCCAAATGTTAGAAGAAAGGGATTGCGTGGATTTGCTTCTGAAAGTCACTCTAGGAAAACCATTGTGCTGAGCAGTACCGCTGAGAGTGCTGGCGCCCTTCAGTTAGTGCTAACGCTTTGCAACTTTCGTACGTCGAAACGCCAGGGTACCCCTCTCGAGCCATCACGCAAACCAGGAAGAAGGAAGGCCGGAACCGGGTTGGTGAGGGTCTCCCGCCATAGCAAGGCAGAGGATCCAAACGCCCCGATTGGGCTTCACGACGAGGCTAGCTAAGACAGGAGAAGAAGAGGACACGAGGTATATAGCAGAGCCGCGCCTTCGGGCGCGGCAACTTCATACTATCTTGAAGAAAGTACAAGCGTAAGGGGTGAATGTCGAATATCCAAAAGAAAGCCTGGAAAAAGGAAGAGAGAGAAGTAAGAGGGAGGAAGGTGTGCAGGAAAGAAAGCAAGGGAAAAGAAAGGTGTCGCGTCCGGAAGAGAAACGGTGTCCTATTGAAGAAGCAGAGGATTCAAACAGCCTGATTGGGCTTCACGACAAGGCAGGCAAAACTGCAAGCAAACAGGAAGAAGAAAGGCCAGAACAGGGCCGAGAGGAGCTTCCCGTGGAGGCAAATTTGGGCTGCCTTACGGCCGTGGAGGCGAATTTGGGCTTTGAGTTGCTGGATATAGTCAGCATGGAGTCAGTTTGTCCTTTTGATGAGGTTTGCTGCATTTTATTGTCTTTCTGAAGTTTCTGGGAGTTTTTGTCTGTTATGATTTTATTTGGGTCAGGAGTCAGGACAGTATAGTTGCTGAGTATTTTGTCTTTCAGAGACCAGGACATGTGAGTATTCTGGCTGTTCTCAGTTCTGTTCTATTCCGATTGCTTTGCTTTTGATTTCTGCATATTTTTTTGTCATCGGAGCGGTTTTCTTTTGTGCCAGCAAAGTTCGCTGTGGTCTAGATTGCATTTCAGGAATTTCCTCCAGACAGGCACAGGTTTGTCCTGTTTGGACCTCTGGCACATACCATTTCATGTGCTGGCCCAGTTTGGCCATTTATGGCTGGGCCTGTGTACCTGTTTTTATGCCATGTGTGACAAGCGCGAGGCTGAGGGAGAGCCGAGGGAGAGGAGAGAGAGAGGGAGAGAGTGGGGGAGAGAGTGAGAGCACACACACACACACTCACTCACTCGACACGACTGAGGGTCGGACGCAGACACAGTGGCAAGGGCACAAAGTCGAAGTCTTGGATTCCAAATGCCGAAACAGCAAGTCACACTGAGTACGAGTACAGCAGCTGAAAACTGGTACAAGACTGGTCCCCGTACTGTACGGGGAGCCCGTATAAGTACCGGTGACACATACGGTACCAGGGGCATTTCCGCAAAAGCCCCGAGGGCAGAACTGAAAAATGCGATATTTGAAAGTGGTGCCCGAATTGCAGCATGGCGCCAGTTGTCCAAAATCCGACGGTACCAAAGGAGGGGTTTGGAAAAAAGGGTGCCAGGCCGAAAACGGGATGCAGCAGAAACAGCAAAAAGATAGACCAGGGATCGAGCCCTGGCGGAGTGAGTAACACTATCCCCTCCTTCTGAAAGGCAACGTCCCGGCTGCCAAAAAGCCAAGGAAACAAAAGGAGCTGTGAAGGACGGGACGGGGCCGATCACTGGTCGGAGAAGGAGAAGGGGAGTGATGTAAGTCACAGGGTATTCTGTCTGGTGTTCTGCACAGGTGAAGGTATGATGTAACTGGGTGGGTCTATAGGGGAAGCTAAGCAATGTTCAGGGAACAGGGGATTTCTATTGATGTTCTACTGGGTAGGGGAAACGATGTTCAGGAAAACAGGGAATTTCTATTGATGTTCTAGTGGAGAACAATGGTCAGGGGAACAGGGAATTTCTATTGATGTTATAGTGGGTAGGGGGAACAATGGTCAGGGAAACAGGGATCTGCTAATGATGTTCTACAGGGTTATCAAAGTCAGGAAAAAAAAAACAGAAGTAAAAAAAAAAAATGAAAATGTTTGTTCAGGAGGCAAGGGCTGGTGTCCTTCGGGACATCCGTTAAAATTGGAACGATACAGAGAAGATTAGCATGGCCCCTGCGCAAGGATGACACGCATAAATCGAGAAATGGTCCAAATTAAAAATAAAAAAGGAGGCAAGGGCTGGTGTGTCCGAAGGAGTCGGAAGCAGAATCTCATGTAGGAACAAAGTGTCCAAGTGTCTTGAAAGGGGATCTGCAGCAGTCTTGATCAGGTCTTGGAGTAGGTGGTAGAAGCGGTCTTCAGCGGCTGCGACAGGTAGAAGTCCAAGAAGCGTAACAGTAGTTCAAATGTCCAAAGTCCAAGCGCTAGGGTGCGTCCGGTACACGAACTGCAATGAGGTCTGATCTGGAAGCAAGGAAGTCGCAAACTGATGCAAAGATCCATGTCACAAGTTGCTGCTCCAGTAAGTCCGCGAGTCGGGATGCCGCCCGATGAAACAGCATGGTGGCCAAACCAGCTGCATAATCTCCATGAACAGTGAGGCAGCAGGCCATCGTCCTCGTGCACTTGCCATTAGATCCTTTATCGTCGGCGTCACGCAGGTTCATAAGCATTGGACAAGAGAGACAAGGTAGTGGAGAGGACAGATGGGACAAGGCTAGGCGAGGGCAAGGGCAGATCAGACATCAGGAATCGGGGTCGAGGGGAGGGTGGACTGGGTTCAAGGGCTGTCTCTTATACACATCTAGATGTGTATAAGAGACAGGTCCAGGGGTGTGTGTAGAACGGGGTTGCGAGGTTGTAGCAAGGTTTATACAGGGGTTTAGGGTTGTAGTTACGTAGGTGTCTGGGACATAGGAGTAGCACGATCATAGGCGCGGACAAGTTTCATGGCATTCTTGAGATTCGAGGGAGGTTCCCATGTAGATTCTTCGTCGGGGTATCCGGTCTATTTGACTTTGAATTCAGTGATTGGTTCCAGGTGGTCAGATACCTGAGTAGTTCGTCGACCTATGATTGCTTCAACAACCAATTCAGGGCCCGTGGGTAACATGATAGGTGGAGGTCTAGGATATGGGCGGTCAGCGAATTGGGGTGGGGATTCATGATATTCTTTCAAGTATTCGACGTGGAAGACCGGGTGGACACGGCTCATGTCGGGGGGGAGTTGGAGTTTGTAGTTGACGTAGGAAGTTTTTTCAATGATGGGGAAGGGTCCGAGCCATTTTTTCGAGAGTTTCTTTGACAATCCATGTTCGGGTTCAAAGCGTTTGGCGGAGAGCCAGACTTTGTCCCCTACTTTGAATTGCAAGTCTCGTCTGTGTTTGTTGATCTTGTTTGCTTGTTGTTCTTGTGTTCTTTCGAGGGCTTCGGTTGCTTCTCTGAGGAGTCGATTCATTGTTGCTACCCATTCATTGAGAGAAGGGCAGGGTGTGGAGCGGTTGAGTTGCGAGGGAAGCAGGAAATCAGAGGGCAAGCGCGGATGGTAGCCAAGGTCAAGGTAGAATGGAGACATGCCAGTGGAAGGACAGACAACGTTGTTGTTGGCAATCTCGGTGGCGGTGAGCAACTGATCCCAGTCGTGTTGATGTGGATGACAGTACTTTCGTAGGATTCTTTGGAGAGTACCGTTCATCTTCTCGGTTTGTCCAGCGGTCTGTGGGTGGAATGCAGTGTTATACTTGAGTGTAGTTCCATACGCGTTGAAGAGTTGTTTCCAGAACTGTGAGAGGAAACGGGGATTGCAAGCGCTGATGATATTCTCGGGGAGGCCGTGGTGGTGCAAGGAATGAAGTGGGTGCGTTTGGTCAGGCAGTAGACAATGACGTAGATGCAATCATGTCCGCGGTCGATCTTAGGGAGACCGCACACGAAGTCCATGAAAATGGACTGCCACCGCTGAGTGGGGATGGGCAATGATTGGAGCTTGCCGGGTTTGGCCCGGTTCGAGGGATTGACAACCTGACACGTGGGACATGAGCGAATGTATGTTTTGACGTCGGCGAGTAGAGAAGGCCAATAGAAGTAGCGGGAGATGATGTCGAAGGTCTTCTGGAAACCGAGGTGGCCTGCAGTCTTGGCGTCGTGGTGCTCGGCCAAGAGCTGGGTACGGAGACCACGTGTGTCAGGGATGCACAATCGGCGAGTGTCTTTGGTGTCGATATAGAGGAGGTTGTCGTGGAGGGATTAGTCGGGGACTGGGTCAAGATCAAGGAGCTTGTTGTAAATGGCAGCGAAGTCTGGGCAAGAGAGGTAGCCTTGGGTGTATCGGTGATGGAGTGATGGGAGGAGTTGGATATGGGTCATGGCAGCGTGTCGTCGAGAGAGGGCATCAGCAACGCGGTTGCTTTTGCTGGGGGTCTGGCAAATGGTGAATGTGAACTGGGCAAGGAAGTCGAGTCATCGAGCTTGGCGTGGGGTGATGTCTTTCTCGGTGAGGATGGAAGAGACGATGGTGTTGTCAGTGCGGATGGTGAAGTATTGCCCGTTGAGGTACGGGCGCCAGACTGTGAGGGCGTGAATCACGGCGAGGAGTTCCTTCTCGTTGGAGGGGTAATTCATCTCCGCGGGAAGGAGCTTCTTGCTTGCGAAGACGATAGGGTATTTGCTGGGTGGAGCTTCGGGGTGAGTGGGCGAGTCCTTGATGGAGGGGGTCTCGACGGTGTCGCGGGGGAAATGTTGGGACAATACGGCTCCAATGGCGAAGTCGGAGGCATCAGTGGTGACATAGAAATGGCGAGTGGGGTCAGCGATCTTGAGGACAGGGGTCGTGGTGATGGTTTGCTTGAGGAAGTCGAAAGCGTGTTGGCGGCGATCGTTCCAATTGAAGGGTTCGTCCTTGCGTGTGAGTCCATGGAGAGGGTAAGAGATCTCGAAAAAATTGCGAATGAACGGGCGGTAATAGTTGGCAAGGCCGAGGAAGGAATGAAGTTGGAGAAGGGTCTTGGGCGGGGGGTACTTGACGAGGGTTGTGGCCTTCGAGGGGTCCATACGGATGCCTTCAGCGGAGACAATGTGGCCAAGGTATTCGACGCTCGAAGCGGCAAACGTACATTTGTTGAGCTTGGCGTAAATTTTTTGCTCTCCGAGGATCGAGAGGACTTGGCGAATGTGCTGAAGGTGGGACTCGAAGGTGGGGCTAAGGATGAGGATGTCATCAAGGTACACGACGACACAGACTTCGAGGAGGTCACAAAAGATGTGGTTCATGGTGAACTGGAATATGGCGGGGTTATTGGTGTGTCCGAAAGGCATAACGAGGAACTCGTAGTGCCCGAACCGAGAGCGGAATGCGGTCTTGTGGGTGTCCTCCTCGCGGATACGGATCTGGTGGAAGCCACTGCGGAGGTCGATCTTGGTGAAATATTTGGCTCCACGTAGGCGAACAAGAAGTTCAGATATCTGGGGGAGTGGGTACTTGTTCTTGATCGTGATCCGGTTCAAGGCACGGTAGTCTGTGCACATGCGGAGTTCCGAGGTGCCATTCTTCTTGACGAAGAGACAACTGGTTCCGAAGGGGAAGGAGCTAGGCTTAATGAGTTCATTGAGTTGACGCTTCATTTCTTCGGCCTCGGGGACGGAGAGTTGGTACAAAGGACAGCAAGGAGGAGAATGGCCGGGCTCGAGATCAATGGTGTGGGATACACCTCGATCGGGAGGTAAACCGGCGGGCAAGGACTCGGGGAAGACGTCCTTGAATTCAGAGAGGAGAGCGGTGATGTGAGGATTGGGGGTCTTGGTCGGGTTTGTCCGTTGGAAGCAAGTTCTCGGGACGCTCGTGGTCGATAACAAGACAATAGTAAGCGGAGTCGGGGTGTTCACGGGATATGTGAAGGAACTGGTGAGGGGAGACAGGGGGTGGGGTAGAACGGGGGAGAAGGTAAGGGATATCAAGAGGAGAGTCAGGAGGGCAGGTGAGTTGAACGAAGGAGGGGTGGAAGGAGTAGGGCACGAAACGGTCAAGCCATGGAGTCCCGAAGACGATGTCGCACATGAGGTGCATGACATCGAAGGAGACCTGACTGCGAAGAGGACCGGTAGTCATGAGGGTCTTAGGGACAGTGCGATCGACAACGATGGCTGAGTCCTTATCCCCTAGTCGTAGCCGGTGGAAGAGAGGTCGGCTTTGCGGACACAGGCTTCGGTGATGAAGTTGCCGGTGGCACCAATATCAAGGAGGGTCCGAAACTTCACCGCCGATGCGCCAAGGGAGACGACGATAAACTTGAGCTGGAACTGTGCGGTTCCGGCACATGCTAGCAGTGCAACCTCCTGTCCATCCCCGGATACCCATTCGCCCCATCGTGCCTATTCTGACATCAAGTGTTTGCTGATTTTTTTTTTTTTTTTTTTTTTTTTTTTTTCCTAACCTTTTCGGTTCTGGCTCCTGCCATTTAGGGGAGCAACAGTCTGGTTCCTATTCCTCCGGCAATTCAATTGAATACATAGGAAACTCACGCACGCTCCTCCCCATTATGGCTGGGAGGCCCGAGTGGGCGGCATTGATTGCTTCCTTGTGGAAAGATGTACGCCCTCTCACCCCTGCTTAAGTTAGTCTGTGATACTTTATCTGGGAGGCCCTTGCTAAATCCATTGGCCACACTCCTGCTCCTCTCAGCTGCAATGCTGTCAGGTCGGTGTGTTATGCTAGAGAAGTCAGGGACACTTTGTGAGTTTTTGGAAACCTGAATCTTTAAGCCTATTTGTCTTGAGTCAGTCCTAACCCTCAATCCTTGTCCAACTAGCCTCGGTTTTACTTACTCAAGGAGGGATGTACCCCCCTGTACCCCTGTCTACGTTATCCTGTATAATTTAAAACTTGCTTTATAAGTTTATATTGATAGTCTGAGAATCCTGACTTTTGGGACCTGTGATTCCACTCCTTAGGGCTGAGCCTGCCTGTTCCTCTTCTGCGTCTTGGCTGTTTGTTTTACTTCCCTTTGTTGGAGCTGCAAGCATGGTGTAGTGCTATGTCCTTGCTAAAACCCTAAACCCTGTCCTCTCGGTTGCAGAATGCTCTACTAGAGCCCTTGCTCCTAGTTGAATTTTTCTCTCTCCTCTGGGAGGTTTGCTGACTTTTCTGCTAAGGGTTTGGATTTTTGTATTCTTGGATGTGCTACGTAGGTGCAGCCACCCTGTTCAGAAGTAGCCTGGGGCCCAGAACTCAGCCCCACGCAACGCAGACCTGAGTTGGTCTGCGCTGGGCTGTGTGACCAAGACACGCCCAGGCCTGAGTCTGTCACGTTTGGCTGTGTGACCGAACGCTGCACACAGGAAATTCAAGGGTCAAAGTCAACTGTAGAGTCAAAGTTACCGCACCCAGGCCCTTGGTTGGATACACTCACTTGTTGTGCGCAGGTACCCAAACAAGCATCCAGGCCGGAGGAAATTTGGTTTCAGACCAGTCTAGGCCTTAGTTTGCATCGAAATCTGGACGGTTGAGGGTGGTAGCATCCGGGGACCAGACCCCGAGTTAACGCTACATAAGCGCTGACTTTCCTGGCTTTGACATTCATTTTGTCTTATGTCAATGCTGTCTTCACGAGTTGACGACGACTCTGGCTCGACGCTGCAAAGTTGGTTGAGCGCTGGCTCTGTGCTGGCATTGTGTCTACGGCGACGTGCTGCTGGTCCGGCATGGTGGCTGGCTTGCACCTGTCTTCTTGGCATGCTGACGTGGCAGCTGCCATGCGCTGTCAATGACGTGGCTGCTGCCACGTGTACTACTGGTTGACAAGGCGAAGCTATGTGATTTGTGTTGCTATTCTGATTATCGTCATTCAGGAGGAGATCAAGACTGTGGAGAGATCGTGGATACTTACCTGGTTGTCTTCATGTCGACATTGCTCCAGCATTGATGAGGGACTGATTAGACATGCCACGTGGCACATTGAGGTTACTTCAGATACTCATTCAAATTATTGATTATTGAGGTGGTGATTGCGAAGGGAGCCCGAAGAAGCAGTGGGCATTGTTTCTATCTCCCCACTCTAAGTCTTTCCTCCCTCTCATCTACCTCGTCGATGTATGTCTTCTCTTCTCTTGGGTATCTGGACACGAATACGATTATTGATAATCATCAGCTGGTTGACACTCATTTGGACTTGCATTGTTGACAACTGTCTTCACGATCTGGGTTCATTGCATGGGGATCTTCCTTTTTACCATTGTCTGTTTGTTAAGAATTCCTGTTTGTCGAACCGGATGTAGTTTTCTGTCTGTATGTGTTATTTATTGTTAGATTTTGGTGTGGCGGACGTTTCCTATACCCGTAGTTATTGATCTTCTACCAAAGATGACGGTTGCCCATCTAGAATGGTTGTGAGCTGGTTCGTGCTATCCCATTCTTGGAATTTTATGATTGTGTTGTTTGTTTTAGCTATCTTCCTGCCTAACAACTATTTTTCCTCAAAGGATTTTTGGCTCGCCTTCCTTTTTGGGGGGTTTGTTAGTTTTTCTTGTTTCCTTAGTTCCCTTTTCCATTGGGCCCTGATTTTCGTTTCTACGATATCCTTCGTCTCCTTCCATGCTTCTTCACTTGTTGTTGTCTGGTTGCTGAGCGTTTGTTTGCATCTAGATTTCCATATCACCCACCGTGCGGCCCTTCGTAGCAAATTTGTTATAACCGCCTCTTCCTCTTGTACCCTCCCTTCTTTGTCCCTTGCTGAGAGTAGGTAATCTGTTTGCATTGGGAATGGGCTTGGGGAAATCTTAGACCAGGCTGATTTGACTGCTTCCCATATTTTGTCTGCATGAGAGCATTCAATCAAACAATGAACAAGTGATTCCACTTTGCTATCTTCGCACATTTTGCAGAGGTCGGACTGTTCTGTTCATTGGTCGTCTTTTCTTCGTTTATCGAGCCACTCGTTGACTGGGACAGCCCAGTAGAGTATCAGCCATTGCAGACTCCTGAACCTGGTGGGCTTTATGCTGCTATAGTATTCCCATGGGATCCTAGAGGGCCATCCATGTTCCTCGCCTAGGTGCTTGATCCATCTTTCTGAAATAACCGGGTGAGGATCTGCCGTTTTGTTCCTTATCTTATAGCCTACTGTCACTGTGTAATCTTGCAAGTTGACTAGTTTTTTTGCTCTACCATTACCTGTTCTGACGTACCATCCCCATTCCACTGGGTCTATTTCTAATTCTCTAATGTCCTTGCCTGGTCTAAAAATTATCACCTTTTTGGGGGTTGCTTCTAAAGTTGGTGGTCCTTTTTCTTTCTGCGTCCACGTTCTTATTTTTCTCATGTTGCCGAGGTTGAATTGTAAAGTTGCTATGCTTTCTTCAATTACCTTGGTTAGTGTTTTGTTTTTGCTCTGCAGTTCGTGTACTATGAATCCTGCTACGTTACTCAGATTGCTCACTCGTTTCACAAATTTGAGGGCTACCGATGGTGTCGCTTGACCTTTGTCTGTAGCCCAGTCGCCTGACTCCCACTTGATTTCTCATTGTAAATATGCTCTCCAATCTAGTGGTATGCCGTCTGTCATCGCTTCCAAGTTTTTTTCTAAGTTATGGCATCCTTTGAGCTGTTGTCTTAGTTCCGAGGCTTTCAACCATCTCTTCTCTTCTTCTTTTCATATGTGCTCTATTTTCCAGATTCCCTTTTCCACCCACTTTCTCCATCTTCTGCCTTTGCTTGTTAAGGACCAGGGATTGCCCTTGGCGTCTAGAATAAGTGTGTTTCCAAAGAGCGGTTGTCACAAAACTTCTTCTTTAATTTTTTGTCTTCTAACTCTTTTCGGGAAGGCCTCTCTCCAATGATTGATGGGAGTTTTCCAGTGTTTGCTTGGGGGGTCTTTGATAGCCTGCTGATTGTTGTTGCCCCTGTTGCTTTCGGTTCTTGGGGTCCATGCCTTATTCATTATCAAGTGGTATTCTTCTATTCGTGGGTCTACTTGAAAAGGAACCAGGTTTCGTAGCTGGTATAACGCCATATCGTGCCATGGTAGTTCTTTGTGTAGGATGATTCTGATTATCCATTTAGCTTGTAAGGCTTTATATTCGTTCGTTGGATTTATCAGTCCCAGACCCCCTTCTTTGACTGGTCTGGTTATATATTTCCATGCTACCTTTGAGATGAATATATCCTTGGTTGTGTTTCCTGTCCAGAGATAAGCTCCTGCTTTTTTTCTGAGAGTTGAGGTGAAGTGTTTAGGGGGGTCCCAGATGGATGTTGTGTACCAAGCCATAGAAAAGATGGATGTGTTTAGTACCAGAGCTCTACCTATGGGGGAGGTGTAGACCTTTTGCCATCTTGTTAGCTTGTTAATGATTTTGGCTAGAATGTTTGGGCCTATGCTTTCGTTCGCTCCTTCAGCGGTTATTGAGATTCCCAAGAATCTCATTGGTTCTTGGACACTTATCCATTGCAGGCCTCATGTGTCTGTTGACTCTTGGGGAGTGGGTTGAGTGGACAACCACCATCCTACCGTTTTCTTCCAGTTAATC